AAATAAATAAACGAGGCAGGAAACGGGGCAAGTTCGCACCCCGAACCTGCCCTGCCCTGTCTAAAGTGGGATGGGATGGGATGGGACGGGGCGGGGCGGGGCGGGGCGGGACGGGGCGGGGTGGGGACCCGCCCCTTTGCTATCTCTACTTCCAATCTCTCTTCAAAGACCCATAATGGCTTTTTTATTTAAAATAGAGTGTTTTGAATTGATAACAGAAAAAATTGTGATCGAGGATTTATAATTGAAGAATTAATGATTCTATGGAATCGGTTTTCTCTAAATACCAAGGGAAACTTTTAGGTGGTTTTTTTTCTAAATGTATCAAAATATCAAAACATTGTGAAAATGATGAGTAAGGAATTTATTCTACTGTAATTTGAGGGGTTTATTTTTGTGATTTTTCGTGAAGTTGTTTATGATGGTGTTGGTGTTCGAAGGTCTGAATGGGTGATCATTTGACGGTGCAAGTGGACCAGCTATTAAAGCCCGAAGAGGCTGTGATAGGTCCAATCAATCGGTTCACGAGCCCGACGTAAAAAAGCCTTAAATGATGGGATCCTCGTATGTTAGGATATCTACTGATTTAGTCAACAATTAGTTGAGGAAATCAAGCAAATCAGATCCTTCAACTGATACAATAGCTCATTCTTGTGTAGATTTTCCTGATCAGTTTTAGTTAATTCAATTTTTTGATAAATGTTAGTCTTTCGTATTCCTTCAATCTCTCTAGTTTGTTACATGTAAAAACCATATATATGTTACAACCAATGCCAAAAAAAAAAAAACAAGAAAAGCATCTTAATTTAAAAATTGTTTCGTAAATTATGTACTCAATTTTTGTTCAATCTTGGTATCAGAGCCTAAAAAAGGCAAATGCCTAATTTTACTAATACACTACCGCATCACATAAACTTCTCAATACAATGGCCACAGACTCTACTACCTCCACTAACTCCGCCACCTCCCTCCATCAACCTATTATCTGAGCAAATTTCCAACCCGTATCTCAAAAATTAGTCGGCCCCAAATATCTACCTTGGAACATCCAATTCACGATCTTTTTGAAGAGCCACGATCTTGTGGGTGGAGAGGTAAATCTTCCACCAAAAACTATCTCAGATGGATCCCTTAATCTAGCTTATCACTGTGGTCAAAAGAAAGACAAATATGTCCTAAGTTGGTTGCTTGTTTCTATCATAGAGAAGTTAGTCTTCACTGTTTGTTGAAGAATGGACTCCAACCTCCCAAGATCCGGGCTCAGTATTGTTGAATCAATCACCACAATTGTCAACCAAATCATCCCTAACCCGGTTGCCCTCAAGTTGCCCTAAAAAATCAGCCACAAAGGCTAAAGAAGAAGAACAAAATAGAGCACAGAAAGCACGAACCCAAGACAGAAATCACGAAGCCAAGAACGCCATTTTCTCTCAAACACATGGGCTAATGAAAACCAATTTTCACATACTAAACACAACAGTAATGGGGTTAATAAGTAATAGGGCCCAACATGTAGTATAAATGGGTTGTCAACCA